CCTGCTGATTTTCACAGCTAGAAGTTATAGAAACTTCTCTTCCTGGCACTGGAGCCCTGGCCTTGGAAGACTGGTGAGGGGCTGGGACCACCTCAAATCTTTGCCCTTCCTACTACTCAGCTAGATTTCAGGCAGTTCTGAATGATGGTTGTTCTGTAGTTTAGTTTTAATTTTGGGAGGATGTGAATACTGCATTTACTTATTCTGCCATCTTGACCCTACCCTTTTAACAATTTTTTAAATATATTGTATCGATTTTTTACAGAGAGGAAGAGAGAGGGATAGAGAGTTAGAAACATCATTGAGAGAGAAACATCGATCAGCTGCTTCCTGTAAACCTCTACTAGGGATGTGCCCACAACCAAGGTACATGCCCCTGACTGGAACCGAACCTGGGACCAGTCAGTCTGCAGGTTGATGCTCCATCCACTGAACCAAACCCCTTAAGACTTAAGAATTTTTTTTAAAGATTTTGTATTGATTTTTAGGGAGGGGGGTGGGAGGGAGAGAGATAAACATCTATGTGAGAGTGAAACATTGATCAGCTATTTCCCACATGCCCTCCACCAGGAATCAAGCCCAAACTTGGACATGTGCCTCGACTAGGAATCAAACTGGCAATCTTTTGGTATATGGGACAATGCCCAACCAACTAAGCCACAACAGCCAGAGCTCTTAACAAATTTCTAAGTGCATGTCACTGTACAATATGTATTAATAAAATTTGTTCTTTTTTTAAATATATTTTTATTGATTTCAGAGAGAAAGGGAGTGGGAGAGATGGAAACACCAATGATGAGAGAGAATCATCGATCAGCTGCCTCCTGCATGCCCCTCATTGGGGATTAAGCGTGAAACCCGAGCACCTGCCCTGACCAAAAATCAACCCATGATCTCCTGGTTCATAGGTCAATGCTCAACCACTGAGCTATACCAGCCTTTTATTTTATTTTATTTATTTATTTAGTTAGTTAGTTAAAGGGCAAGGGAGAGAGAGAGAGAGAGAGAGAGAGAAACATCAATGTGGTATAGAAATACTGATCAGTTGCCTTCCTGTATGTGCAACTGGGGATTGAACCTGCAACCTAGTTATGTGCCCTGACTAGGAATGAAATCCAAACTTTTCAGTTTATGGGATAACACTCCAACCAACTAAACCACACCAGCCAGGGGGACAAAATATGTTCTTTATAACTATATTTTG